ATGTGTTGGCTCTCCTGCCTTCACTGATCTGGACAATCATGCAATGCAACAGAATACAATAGAACGCAATAGACCAAAATAGACCAAACATAAACATACGTAAACCATCTATCTGGATTATGAAATGTTTTGAGCAATTTTGAAACAGTTCACTACTTCTAAATTTTGTGAGGGGGCCTCTGGACCAAGAAACATGTCTGCCAGTTCAATGACTCGACGCATGCAAGGAAGCTTAAAAGCCCAGCTCGATGCAGGCTGCTCGAAGACATAAAACAAGCCACGGCCACAAAGGATTAGAATCTCTATTGCAATTGCCTGAGCTCGTCAACCCTTGCAATATATATATATATATATAATATTATAATATATTATAATATAATTTATTATATTATAATATATTATATAATATTAAAATATATTAAATACACATAAATACTGTATATTACTGTATAATACAGTATAATACAGCATAATACAGCAATATACAACAATATTATGCTATATTACAGTATATTACTGCATATTCCTGCTATAAAATCAAAGCCAATGGGATCGGGAGTTGTATTCAGTGCATGTCATTTCTACATAATCCTTCAATATGCTACATGAATAATGTATACCAAATGAATCCAAATGATAAAAATATGAGCACATATTAATGCTATAAAATCAAAAATTGTATTATAGAGGGATTTCCCACTACTATAAAAATATATAAAAACTACTAACAAAATTATAAAAATATATGTTTGTAATGAACCCTTCCCAGCACTGCACCCACTACCAAAGTTCTGCTGCATCACAGCTGCAAAGTTGGTCCAAAGGAGATTTGAGAGTCTCACCTTCTTATTCCTGGTATTGCCCCAAACATTATCAATGGTCCTTCGGTGAACCGAGCACGATGCACCAACGAAAAGGCTGCAAGGCGGCCCGGCTAGAACAATTGCCTTTGGCAATAGCCTCAGGAGAATGATGGAAAATCTATGAGCATATAATATACAAAAAGATTATCAGAGATTACCAGAGAATAATAGAGAAGTGATGTAAAGTGGTAAATAATTGGAACATAATGAACATATGCGAAATGAATGGAAATGAATGGAAATTATGGTAAATGATTATTCTGAGACATTCTAAAACTCTAAACATTTCTGAACTACCAATACAAGAAAGGCAAGGAACATCAGTCCCATCCCAAGAAGGATATAAAATCCTGATTTGGAGGACAGGTCATGGGCTTCATTCAGCTTAATGTCATAGGACAAAGATCTCCTTCCTGCTCGCCGGAGTTGACGCCTAAGCAACCCCAGCCTATCGACAAAACCAGCTATAAAATCAAAAAATATCAACAAAAAACAAAACACACATACAGAATTATATAAAATATTATAAAATATTATAAAATTATATTAAATATATATAAATCATCTAAAATCTACTAATGCAGAATATAGGAACGACAAACCTTCGGAAAAACCAAATAGATCCAGACCATGGTATTCACGCTGACCGGACCAAGTCTGTGCAAAATCCATCGCGTCTTCAAAGTGGTCTGCTGCATGGTACCACCTCAAAGTGGGCAAACATATTCCACTGTCAGATATAGTCAGATAATATCAGAATATATCAGAATCATTCAGAATCATAGTCATAAAATGTTTCAAAATGTCAGAAACGATCATAAATTATTATAAATGTTTGAAATTGTTTGCATTTTGCGGTAAAATAAGTCACTATAAAATCAAAAAGTTGACCATTGTTTGATCATGCTCGATCCCTATATAATCTAAAATAATCTAAAATAATCTAAAATAATCTAAATATATCTAGATTATTCTAGATTATTCGAGATTGATCTAGTTTTTGCATTGCCACGACATCTGAACTTGCAATCCCTGCAATCACACCCTGCAGTTGAGCGTCTCGTCTTCGCTCACTGAACATGTAGTGTCGTGCTTCAAGTTCATTTTGACACACCCAGCGGAGTGGAAGCCATGAAGAACGCAGGAGACAAGAAGCAGGCACAAACGAAACATTGCGGATCAATCAGATGAGGCTGAACGACGCAGGGGTCCCACCCAACAGACAGACTGACTATGACTCACTGATGATCCAAAAATCTGAGTAGGCAGGAGTATGTAAGATTCAGTTTGCATCTGATTGGTATATTGAAACATAAATCTATTGCTAGATTTTTCACGAGCGATCAAAACATATCAAAACCAACCATTTACAGTATTGGCAGATTGAAAGATGTTTGATTAATAAATGGCAGTTTTCTGTTGTGGAATCTGGTCACCACTGTGTCCCTTGACCATTGCCGACGAGAAACACGATCTTTCAATTTCGGGCAATCTTGAGAAATCACAAGTGTCCACGTCCATGACTTTTCACCCCTCAGTGGACGAGAAGCATGTACTATGCTGAGGCGCAGGGTGTACAAAATCATACAAAATCTATAACAAATACATGTAAATTCATTGTACAGTCACAATACTTGTACATGTAAAATATTGTAAACTGATGAATTACCTCCGCCATCCTCTGCCCATCCCCTGATCATCAGTTGAGGTTCGGCCGCCGGTAGACATGGTGATGTGAAGCTCTGCCAGCGTAATTTTTGTAAGTGCACTTCGAGACTTAGTTTCCAAATGTTTCCAGAATGCATGCCGCATAGATTCCTCATGGACTGCAATCTTTTCATACCTTGTCATACTATGTCATACCGTTTTCATCAATTTTCTGTGCTATAAAATCAAAATTTCAGAGAAATCCAAGAAATTCCAAGAATATCTTGCGTATGCCTCTATAAAATCAAAATAGATCAAAAATATTCAAAAATGATCTAAATATATCAAAATATATCAAAATTATACCTGAATCTTGTTCATTCCCCTCCTGCAATACTGATCCATAGAATTGATTCATACAGTGGTGTGACTTGATTCTAGTGTGCAGTCCAGAAACGCCACACACCACGTTGAGCATCCCAAGCTGGTGGCTCTGTCGGGCACACACAATGAGCCTTCCCCTTGGCAAAAAAACACGGGCCACATATGAACATACCACGAAATGCCTGGAAATGCCTTGAATGTCCTTGAAATTCCTTGAATATGCAGCAAATATTGGCACAATAACACATACCAATACTATCCATCACTATCCAATACATTTCAAAAATGAAAAACAATGAAAAATACAAATTCAAACAGAGCTCTAACACGCACTCTCAAATTCAGCCCAGGATCGCACAACGTCGGGAAATTGTACTTTCGCGCTCTTGATGCAACCATGGCTATCTATTCCCTGTCTGGCCGTTAACGATTATTTCATATTATTTTATGTTATTTTATATTATTTCAATATCAGCCTTGTTATTTAAATGTTCATGATTTTTCAATATGTTTTCATATGTGTGCTATAGAATCAAAATATATCAAAATAACAAGGCAATTATTGTTCTGATGTGTTCGTGCCAACCAGGATGCTATATGAATTCTCAGGATATTTATGTATTTGTGTGCATGATGCATTGAAGCATCATGGATCGTGGTTTGATTAGATTTGCATAGATTTCCATTGTTTGCATTGCTAACCAGCACCCCCCTGGTCAGCTTTGCAAGCTTTTAATTTGAGCCAACCACCCACCACAGTGTCACACTAACTCTATAATATCAAAAACATTTGAACACAATCAAACAACACCAGAGAAAACCTATAAAATCAAAAAACATGAACACAATCATCCATTATTACTCCACAAAACAAATACATACAAATACTATAAAATCAAAACACACAGCCTCCTCCAATCTGTTACTCCAAAAATAGATCCGCTATAAAATTGAAATTTCTTCCATTGCATTCCTGGTTCGCAACGAATCACTGTATTCTATAAAATCAAAGTGTACAGCCCCCCACAAAAACATGAAATTTTGGAAATTTGTTTTGTGACCACTTTTTGGGCCCGGTGACCGCTATAATTTTTAGATTATGGGGGACGCTAGCGTCCCTGATTTTATAGCAGAAATACGCAGGGGATTACAGTATATATATATATATATATATTAGTGTTTCATCTAGTGTTCTGGAGATTTCTGGAGCGCAAACATCCAAATGAGTCGTTGTCCTCTCCTGGTGAGTCAGGGCATAGTTGTCCACACATAATCTCTCCGCGAGCTTGAAGACTTCCGTCCTGTGGCAAGACTGGGATGGACATCAAGGCGCCCCAAAGAAGCCCCGATGGGCGAACATGCCATGTAGTGAGTGGCTAACAACAATGATACAACAATGATAAATCAGGATTAGTTGGTTCATTGGGGGTTGCAAGTTTTAAACATGCTTCTTCCATTGATATCCATTTATGATCATTTATGTATATATATATATATATTTATGTCGCGTCTACAGCATGTCGTTTTCCTTTGTTCTAGTGAATGTCTCCCTCTTGCTCAAGACATGGATTGACTGTGCAGCGAACGGCATTTCAAATGGGGTTCAAGAAATGCTACCAGCAATCTGCGGCATATCAATGCAAAGCACAGAAGAGTTGCAGCTAGTACTGGGAGATACAGTACTGGGAGCGTGTGAAAAGGGAAAACCAAAACCGCTTCAGATGACCCAAGATACCCAGAGACTGAACCTGGCCTTTCAAGTTCACCCGAATTATCCACATCGTTGTCCAAGAAGAGACGACGCACACTGCGAAACTGGTCTTCCTAGCGATGCTTCATGCGACACAACACATGCCCCGTTATGTTCAAATATGTGGAAATCATGTGCAGTGCAAAGGTGGAACATTACGAAATACCAAAACAGTTACTGAGTTTGGCTGTTTTGTTGGTGAGCATAAGTGAGGACTTTGATTTATACCGAATGTACATGACATGAATATACGTACATATACGTACTATAATTCAATATATTTCTTACCGCACGTCACCGTCAAAATCGTCAAACGCCCCACTGGCTGTTGGGCTGCTACTGGCTGCCCCTCTCGGCCTCTTGCAATGCACTTGGCTGTGCTGTGGCCTGGCGTTTAAGTTTGTCGTTTGAAGTGGGGCATGGCATGGCATGGCAACCTGTTGGAGGTTGAACATTTCTCAGAAAATATGTGGATGAACTGCTCTCTAGTTGAGCAAACCGCGTTCCACCCTATTCCGGGATATCATTTCGGGGATGCCTCTGGGTTCTAGGGCTTAAAAAATAGGTATCCAACCCTTTCTCCACACCAGTTGGCACCAGTTGATATCGCAAACCTTCTGATTTCTCAGCTGCCAACCTGTTCGTCTGAAGCAAAACCCTTCGCCAAGGTGGTGGCAATGTGCTTTACCGTCCGCATCACCTCGCAGCTGAAGAGAACAAGGATTGACCTGGCCCTTCTTAGATGAACAGGTTTCGCCATCCGACATTTTCGCCAGATTCCGCAAGAGAAAATGTAGAACACATAGTCATGATAACAACATAGATCAAAATGATCAAAATATACCAGTTGCCTTGTGTTTTCGTATGTACTCCTTGCCCCCCACCGGCATCAAAAATATCAAAGATCTGCCAAGATTCGGCCAAGGACACGGACAGGCTCGCCAAGGGCAAGCGAATGGTCAGGAATCCTTGAGCTGAAAGGGCTGGACATCCACCATTGAATCATTCGCGGTGAGGACGTCACAATAGGCTGCTACAAGTTGCACAAATCCAAGGCATTTTTTTGGGATGGCCAATGGCTTCCCAGACAATGGGGTTGATTGCGAGAGTGAACTGGAAAATTCGTCACAGGAATGGGGGTTCGATCATTGCGGTCCCCAAACAAAATGCCAAAGAATGAAGCCCTAGATGGTTCAGGTGACAGTGATGGATAGTACTGTAAAACCATTTTTATATATATATAATAAATATATAGAATTATATAGATCCATTTAGTAATTCATAGTAATTTAATGTAATTTTATAATTATACACATTCAACATGCCACCAACCATGCGTGCATAAACCAACATAAAAATCCTGCCGAAGTTATCTACAAAAGGCCACGTATACAGCTGTGGACAGGTTGTCAACTCTAAAACGGCACGGTTTGGTTTTAGTTTTGTTTGACCCAGGCTTTTGAAGGAAATTGATGGGTGAACCATGACGTCAACCATGACACCATTCATCACCATTTACCATGTTGGTTAACCGCAGGATTACCCTGGGACGGAAGGCAAAGTATGTCAGAACCAACCAGTTGCCGAAAATGATCCCTGGGTTTCCCACGTGGCAATTCATAGGATAAAGTCCCTGCTGCCAAGCAACTCAAAGGGGCTTTGGGTCCTTCCGGTGGCTCGTGCCACGATGCGAGATATCTAAGCCTTGGCAACGGCTACATCGGCTGCTGTGCTGTTCGCGTTGGAAGGCTCAATGGGATGACTTGAGCGGCAAACTAACAGGAAACCACCATGGTACATCAGAAAATGCAAATAATACAAGGGTTTCCGGGGTTTCAAATTTGCCATTTCAATCAATTCTGGGACCATCCGAACGAAACCAAGACACTCCACTTTTGCCATGGGCTCCATGATCGCGTAACCACCTCACCAGCTGAACAAGCTGCTGGGGATGAACCTTGGACATTGCCCGTCTGGTAAACTGAACGTCAAACAACTACTACCCGGAATATCCCATCATAAATACGTGTAGATATAATCGCACACACACGGATATATATATATATATATAATATATATATATATATATTCATATTCAATCAATCGTAATATCCAATATAATAAAGTCCAATATATGCTAATATCATCATAGACCATCTGCCCACTATGGCGGACGATATGCCGATATCTACACCTTCGCGCGGTAGGTCAAGCCATGTCAAGCCTGGAGCCACTACCGTCGCATCCTCAACCGACAAACCCAATGACTCTTCCTGATGGCGCCAGCACGTCCCTTGAGGGGTCCAGGGGAGCCAAAGCAAAGGGTGGGACATGCCACACCACTTGGACGATGGTTATTCTGGTGATCCTGGTGATGATGAAACATCCTGCGAAAGGGCCGTGAAACAATTCATAAGACAGGGTTTTTAAAGCCCCCAAACTGACAATGCAAACCAAGTTGTGAAATATTATGAAATATTATTTGGGGTTTAGCGGATGTCCTGAAACATCTATGTGGGTGAAAAATTGTGAAAAACACTACCTCTGTCAAGCGTCCGACAGGTTTGAGGCCAAGTTGGCATGGATGACTTTGGCTGAAACCTGGGGCTGCCAGCGCAGCCCACACCCAGGTTGACAAGGAATGGTACGGGAACCCGATGAAACCCGGCCCGAAGAAGAAAGCATCTGGCTATATGGCTATATCTGAAGATTTGCAACTGCAGTTCATGCACGCCAAATAGAAGTGGTGACCTTTCTGACTAAACCAATGACAAACAGTGCAGTTGGGTCTGAAGTCTTGACCCACAAAGATCATGGCAGGGCACCACCAGGCCGTCGTAATCCAGGTCTGTGTCAGGAGCGATGTCAGGCAGCTTGGAAGGGAGTTGTGGTTTCAGAGGCAGCACTGCACCTGGGCCATGGCTACAAGGGGAAGCCTCACTATATATAGATATGATATAGATATAGATATAGATATAGATATAGATATGGATACAGATAGAGATATAGATATAGATATAGATACAGAAATAGATATAGATAGAAATAGATAGATAGCTAGATAGATAGATCGATAGATCGATAGATCGATAAATTAGATAGATAGATAGTCTAATGTTGGAATTCCCAATCTTCCATTTTTTCGATCTAGCTCAAAACATGTAGCTGGCTCAATTTCATCAGGGGTATGTTTTGACAGTCACCTTGGGCTTTTTCAGAGGTACCATATCTAGTACTAAAGTAATCAGTGGGGATTGAACCTGGCAATTTAATGCAATTTAACAGATTGGGAAGTTTCTGCGAGCTCGCTCAACTGCAACGAGCTGGCTCAGCACCATCGAGCTCGCTCAATGCCACGTAGCTGGCTCAGGGGCATCGAGCTAGCTCAATGGCATCGAGCTGGCTCAATTTTTTTAGCGGAAAAAAAAAAAAAAACCTCGCAGAAATTGAGCCAGCTACGTCACGTTGAGCTGGCGGACGAATGTGAGAGCATCAAAACGAATACTAGCTATGTATTGGCCGGGTTCATGACGCATTGGCGAGCCGGCTCAAGGGCATGTAGCCGGCTCAATTTCTGCGAGGTTTTTTTTTTTTTTTTCGCTAAAAAAATTGAGCCAGCTACGTGGCGCTGAGCCAGCTACGAGGCGCTGAGCCAGCTACGTGGCATTGAGCCAGCTACGTGGCACTGAGCCAGCTACGTGGCACTGAGCCAGCAAGGTAGCTTTGAGCTTTGAGCTAGCAAGGAGGCAGTGAGCCAGCAAGGTAGCTTTGAGCTTCATCATATATATATATATATACACCTATGCAATCCCAACCATGTAATATACTAGATCTAGGGAAAAGCAATTTTTTTGAGGGAGACACGTACCTTTGAGCTGGAGCGGGAATGTGAAATCTAACTTTAGAGATAGATAGATAGATAGATAGATAGATAGATAAATAGATAGATAAATAGATAGATAGATAGATAAATAAGATAGATAGATAGATAGATAGATAGATAGATAAGATAAGATTAGATTAGATTAGATTAGATTACATTAGATAGATTAGATAGATTAGATAGATTAGATAGATTAGATAGATTAGATAGATTAGATAGATTAGATAGATTAGATAGATCGATAGATAGAAAGAAAGATAGATAGATAGATAGGTAGGTAGGTAGATAGGTAGATAGGTAGATAGATAAGGTAGATAAGATAGACAAGATAGATAAGATAGATAAGATAGATAAGATACATAAGATAGATAATATAGATAAAATAGATAAGATGGATAAGTTAGATAAGATATACAGTATAAGATATATAAGATAGATAAGATATATAATATAGATAAGATAGATAAGATAGATAAGAACGATAAGACAGATAAGAGAGATAGATAGATAGATAGATAGATAGATAGATAGATAGATAGATAGATAGATAGATAGATAGATACATAGATAGATAGATAGATAGATAGATAGATAGATAGATAGACACATAGATTGATAGATAGAAAGACATAAATAAAGCTGTATAGATGTATAGATGTATAGATGGATAGATGGGTAGATGGGTAGATGGATAGATGGATAGATAGATTGGATAGATAGATTGGATAGATAGATTAGATAGATAGATTAGATAGATTAGATAGATAGATTAGATAGATTAGATCGATTAGATAGATAGATAGATAGCTAGCTAGATAGATAGAATAGAATAGAATAGAATAGAATAGAAATAGAATAGAATAGATAGATACATAGATAGATAGATAGATAGATAAATGGATGGATTGATGGATGGATGGATAGATAGATAGATTAGATACATCAATAGATAAATAGATCGACCGATCGATGGATATATACATACCTGATATATCCTAATATACCTGTAATATAAGCACATTATCCGCATATGTATATACGGTAATTGTGTAAGTATATATATATATATGTGGAAATAGAAATAGATGTAAATAGTATTTATAATAATAACAATAATAATGATGATAATAATATATATATATAACATGCTATACGAATCAATAACCATCCACCTTACAAACAAAAAGGAGGTCCCCAAAACGATGATAAAGCCAAGTGCATAGACATGGCACCCCCTTTTACTACCACCAAGGCTTTATCAATGTATACTATGTATACTGTGCACATGATACATATATGACCACAAATGTATAACGGTATATGTATGATCCTAGGATGAAATCGTTTACATCAGAGTTCATCAGAGATTGGTGATGTTGAGCTCCCAGGGACTAGCCATATTAGTGATAATTTGATACCTCAAAGGACATAAGTGTCTTGATGTGTCTTGAAGACAAAACTTGTTTGGTGCAAGACTTGCCGTGCACTCTCGGTCATGTTGATCCGCTTCCGCCATCCGAATACAGCTGACCTGACAAGTCTACAAAACCAAACTAGACCAAATCAGACCAAGTTTATGCGGTTAGAATATGTTAGAATATGTTAGAATCGATTACAAAGAGATGTTTAGAGCTCAACAGAATGTCATGGTGCTAAGCTCGAACCTTTGGCCATGGGGTTCAAGGCACAGCAGTTTCGCACATCCATCTCAACAAACAGGGCCATCCCTGGCAGGGGAAAATGGGAGATGGAATCGATGTATGGATGTGTGTGGATATCTGTAAGGGTTCATAAGATAACTTTGAATAATTCATGCATAGTGATGATACATATTGGAATTTAGGAACTACTTCAGGATCAACTTCTGGTATACAAATGTATACGGTATGAGCGTAACTAGCGAACAGCCGAAAAAACACGCGGTTCGTGCCCGAGTCCAGAGGAGCTTCCGGCCTCCGAGAACGGTGTCCGGAAGAGGAGCTTCTTGGTGGCTAGGCGTTTCCACATGTTCCTCAATAAACTGATCCGGCAGCTCTGGTGTTGGAGGACGTGGATCCTGCAAGGGTGAAAGTAGCCGTGGAGCTGGCACCAAAATGTAACCTTTGTAGAAAATATTAGAAAATTAAACACCAACACATACTCAAACACACCCTTGCATCCCCTTGCAATGGAGCCGAATGTGTTTCCTAGAAACAGGATGAAACAGGCATGACACATGCTTCGTCGGCTTAGTCGTCACGGCTCTTTGCACATACAATCACATACATGCCGCGCATGTTGAAACCACAACTGCTGGGAAAAGGTGGGCACCTGTGGACGTTCGTATTCGCAAACTCAGCTGGCTGAAAAAGGGATGTGTTGGTGACATATGACGATCTCAACATAGAATATCATAGAATCACGAAAACCGATTTTTGTCTTCCACTGAACCATTTCCGGGGCCCGCTATCTGCCACGGTCCCCAGCAACAGTCCTGCCGCAACAGGCCCAGCACAGCAGGAAGCACCGTGCCCAGCAACGGGGAAGGAAGCAACCGTGCACGCGCCTTCCGGAGGTGCCCCATGACTTCAGCATGCTTCAGCTACACATGCAGGAAGTGCTGTACTACATGAGCCATCCATAGCTATCTATGCTATCCTCTTTAAAAGTACATGCTTATACATAGGTCCATACTTCTGGCTGAATTGTGATATTCCACCGACCGGATAAAGGTCATTTTGGGATGAGCTCCCATACGTCATGGTGACATTGTTACAATTCACCTCCCATTACACCCGCACTACTAGTATGCCACATTTTTTTTGTTACTTAAGTCACCATTTTGTGCTTGGATAGTCTTGCGTAATCAGTTTTATATACACATCTGCTGTATAAAGAGTTGTATACATCAATAAACAATTAGATCATGGGAACCAGAACCACCAGCACCGAATGCCCGGTGCCCAAAGGTGCCCAAAGGTGCCCAAAGGTGCCCAAAGGTGCCCAAAGGTGCCTGGTTCAGGATCAACTTCACCTGCATCCCGGTGGGCTCCGACGGCAAAAAGACAGCCAGGTGCACCGTGGGCCTTGCAATGGACATCTTGTGGTTGCGAGACGTCTTTCGAGTCCTTACCCATCCTCTTATTGCTGGTATCGTTTAATATGGTAAATAATCTGTTGACATTTAATGATCATGAGATATCATGAATATGATTACGATTACAGTAATTAAATAATTACGTATGCTGATTGTTTTCTTTCCAACTGTTCTTTTTTTTGGCGGGGTGGGGGGTTGCCATTCCCCCTCGTGATCTGAATCCTGCAAATGATCATATCCTTCTATTCGCAAAATGATTGTAGATGTTCTTCAACACAACAAAAGGGACTTTCCATTGTCGCTTTTGAATACCAAAAAATGCATATATATATATATATATGTGTGTGTGTGTGTTTATTTATTTATGATTAATTTATGTATATGTAACGTACATGGCTGGTGCTTTCATCTGCCCATATCTGCCCTGAAACTATTGTTCACTTGGGGATCACCACATTTCTGGCGATTGAAGTAAGGCATATGTAAAACGGTTTGAAACCACCAGCCAGTCAGCAGCACCACATTGTGAATCATACTTGCAAACTAGGGACAAGGCTTACAAAAAGCATCAAAAAGCCTTGAGTGACTCTCCGAAGAAGGACGTTTTGACATGCCTCCACCTTCTTTAAAGATTCGCCCCACAAATGAATGGCCTTGCCCGCCCTGATGACCAACTCTGGCTGTAAGCCTGACACCCTCGGAGAAACAAAACACCTTACATTGGTCCAACATGATTATTTGCGCCCGTACGCCCTAAACTTCACCTCTGGGCATGTCTCAAAAACAAACAAACTGCAAAACAGTGCCCAAATATGCCCAAATAAGTAGCTTTGGTCATTTGTAGTGCTCGCTCCCTCTTTTTTGAAACGAAGAATGAACCATTCAGTTGAGTTTATCAATGTGTGCGGGCCATTCTGAACTCACCCAACTATCCTTGCCTGACATTGGGCGCTGCAGGTAGCTTGGTGCCACCTCTGACAAGAACCTGAGCTGATATCATCGTCCCCGGTGCAGTTCTGGGACCCCAAGCAATAACTTGCCATCCAAGATTTCTTCCACTTTGAGACGGGGCTGACATGTTTCTTTTGGATTCTATTGGATTTCGTGCGTTGGTTCCTTGATGGACCATGATGGACACATCTGGAGCATAGAGCCATTTTGACCAGGGAAAGGGTAAAGGTGAATCCTCAGAAGTCCAGAGCAGACAAGAAGCTGATCGCGCCCGCAGACTTGGGGAACCTGCCAGCAAACACCGGATCATTAGTTGTGGTTTCAGGCAAATGTTGTCTTCCCAATGGCCCAGAGATGCCCAGAGCCACTGGGATGTCAGGAATGGATGTGACAGAAGGACATGAAAGCTCTTGCCTAGAAGGGATTCTGATGGTTCCTGAATGCAAACGATTCCTGGCACCCAGCTATATACTATACAATCCTGGTTCCAACAGGTTGGAATGATAGAATCTGGCGATGTAGTAGAACCAAGGCTCTAGGTTTCCTTCCCCAATTTTTCAGCAAAGGATGGCCTCCTGCATGCCAGTTCCGAGCATGCCCATCCACGGAAACGCCATCAACGACTTCCAAACCAGCCTGACCGATGCCACAGGATGCCACAGGGCGGTGAACCCTTCGCCAGTGTCCCACGTGTCACGGTCCCTGGGTCCCTGGCCTGGGTTCCTTTGGGCCCCAGCTTGGCAAAGAGCCGCCCCAGATCTGCATGGATCCAAGCAGCGCCCATCCTATGGGAAAACTGGGTGCTGGAAACTGGTTACACGCTGGCATTGGGGACACTATAGTTATAGTATGCTATAGCTATACTTATAAACAATTGTGGACCAGGGGGGGTTCAGTATTCCTTGGAAAGATCTGGTTACAGTCGTGAAGTCAAAACTCTGGGCTGAGATGACCGCAATGACAAAATGCTTTTGAAGCATGTGCCTAGAATTTTATCATGATGATTACTATAGTATATCATGATATTTAGATGATATGTCTTGCAACTGGTTGACACGCTATGTGCTGACCCATTTGTCATTTGCACGGGGGAAAAAAAACACTGTGCCACTTGAGGCTGCAACATGCTGCTAAATGGCGCGAAAAAGCATCAAAGAACCACTGACGAAGTCTTCTGGGACTATTTGGAGGCTTGTCTTCCCATGACCATGGTGTCCATTTGCAGCTGAGGATCTCCAAATTGATATCCAAAGACAAACCCATGCTCCTGAGCGCACTTCAAACTTAGCTGGCCAGTGTCTACAAATTGAATCAAATTGACGGGCCATTTGTTAACCCAATTCAACCCTGCTATCATGAAGATTGCACAACTGGCTGTGGTTTCTTTCTAGCGCGCCACCATCCAAACCCATGTTTAAAGTTTAAAAATCAGGCTGCATTCAGAATCTATAACGCACTGAATACATGAATAGAGCATTTGTGCGGTTATCTGTCTGCAAACGGATGTAAAGTCTAGGATGTCCAGGGGACAGGAACCAAAAGCACTGGCACACACCGACGCGCAAGTCTGAAACTTGTATCTTGATGACCAGACTTGGGGCCTCATCCCAAACTACCCACGCTTCAACATGATTCACCGCGACCAAACCATTGATCCAGGGATCACATGCAACTCGTGGAACAACTTCTCGTCTTTGGAGTACCTTAATTAACTCAGAGCTTCTGACTCCAAGGCGAAGCCAGAGCCAGAGTCAGGCAAGCAAAGACATTGTAGATCTGTCCACTCTAGTTGAACACTGGTATAAGTTATAAGCATTGGCAATCCTTCTGCACACACTCATCTTTTAGTGCCAACATGTGCCAACTCTTCGACTCACAATTGCCTGCGCAGTTGCAGTCTGAAACGTAAAGAACTATGCCAACGAGAGGCTACATTGCGGGCACATGTGGCTATATAAAAAACTATTCCACTCATCTGAGGGGGGACTTGCACCTCCACGAATCCTCCGTGACCACCTGGTTCCAATGTTTCGTTCTTGAATTCCTTTCACTTTCGCTTGGTAAATCTCACTCCCCCCGGGACCACTGCAAGCCCGAAGGAAAATAATCACCAAAATGATAAATTCCCCGCTAATCTCGAGCCGTGTGCTTGTCCATGGTTGCCAGTGCCATTCGCCACAATGCTTTCCCATCTGCCTGAAACGGTTCAGCGAAAAACGAAGCAACCCACCAAAGCACAGGGTACCCGAATTCGAGTGCAGAAACAACGCAGTTTGAAGTTGCGCAAGAAGACGGAAAACGTTTGTATATTCTTCCCGGCATCTGAGTTGATAGTACCAAACTGCAATCTGTAGGAAATCCTTTAACATCTTCCCATGCAAACACAAACCGGCACACATACAAGGAGAACGTGGTAAAATTATGTAAAATCCACGCCCCTGGAAAGGCTACAGCACCTCCCTGCCTCTTGGAAATGGCAGCCAGCAGCCTCCAAACGTAAGGCCAACAAATCCTTGGTTTGTTCCAGCGCTCAACCTTGCAAGATTCGTGCCCCCAAAATAATAAAGGTCCCTCAGACAAAGGGCATCCGTTGTAAACTGCCAGATAGTGCCTAGCCCATGTTGGGGCTGAAGTTTCGAAAAAAATGAAATTAATGGCCTATAGGAAAGTTTTGCGATGCAGAGGCAATGAATTGTTGAAGTTGTGAGGCCCGCACCCGCGGAAACTTCGGCGACCCCAGGAGCCACATTACCCGAAAAAAAACACCGGCTTTTGCGCCCGAGAGTCTTTCCACCCGTGAATTCACTCGCTCCCGAACTGTTACACTTAGCAACTACTTGATGATGGGATTGACATGTTGATGTGGTTGAAATGATATATGATGTTGTGTATGCTAACCATGACCATCGTCCGTGGCTCGGAAGTTTTCTAACTAAACTTCTTTTGATGACTTTTCAAATTTCCCATTGCATCCACTTGCCACGTGTTTTTCATTACAATACACAGAGGAGTCTTTATTGATCTTGGACATTTGACACAGCAAAAAGAATGCTTTCAGCCAACCTTATTCCATATGGATTCCGTGACAAGCAGCCAATCACCTCAGTTGATCTCAGTTGTGCGACAAGGTGTGCCAAATGTAAGTATATAGGCTTATAGGATCTGATTTTGCGGACATCATCTTCAATCTCCATTTTTGGAGGTGGGCTGGCAGGTGCCTTCACTTGCTCTCCAGGTCCACCAAGAGTTCGGCCAAGTCTCGTAGTAGGAGCCTTACAACGCAGCCCAGTGCCCTAGCCATCAGGACATCTACAGTACAGTCTACAATGCCAAGAATGACTCTTGGATACTCTTGGATTCTCCCACTATGTGACGCTCCCAGCCACAATCATAAGGGTTTTTCAACGGTGCTCTCCCGACCTTCACATCCCATGGATTCCCATGGCTAGGCACATCCCGCAGCCCAGCTGGAGAGCTGCCCTTTCAACTTGTTCCAATGTTTCAGGCGGAGCTGACCCAGCAGCTCGCTACCTTTTTTCGGATGGGTCAACTTGGGAAGCTCACAGACTCAGGTGAAGACCATGTAAAACCATTGTCCCTACACCATACGCATGAAATACCACCCTAGAAACTTGAAACCCTGGTTGATAGTGTTGGATCTATTCATTTGCTTCACTTGGAAGGACCCTATTAGGGTACTTTGTATCACCGGCAGGGGATAAGAAAACCATAGAAAACCACACCCAGTGACATACCATTTGGATCCATTTGGGGATTGCTACAAACTTTGTTAAAGGGAATGCCCCATCAGGGTTTATGATTGAGTCTACCATGGTGTTTGAGGACATTTCCTCCGGTGATCAAGACTTGTGATAGAAAATGCGGAAGCGGGTGTTGGGTGATTCTCCGATTGAACATGGCATAACATGGCGAACCCTTGCTATGTTTGATGATTAAAGGGACCTACAGGGTACATGGACATCACCACACTTGCTTTTTTCTTTGCGCTTCATTGCCCTACACCCGCGGCCCGCGGCAAAACTTACCAAGGAAAAGTAGGCTCCATGAAGACTAACTGGTGCGGTTGCAAGCGCCCATTGACCATGTAAAAACAATCTAAGACTAGCTGGGAGTTGTGCAAGGCTACACACTTCATGTTTAAATATGTTTCAGATTGTTTAAATACCCTTGTATATTGAAGAACAAAACAGAACAGAAATAACATAATCACATATAATCACGAGATATCACGAGTTCGAAACTAATCAGGGCAGGGAGAACACACGTTATCGGCTGTCGACACCTGGATCCTGTTTGGGTGCAAATGGGTGCAGGATTTCGAGTTGAATCATGTCTAGGTTGTTCTTGAGCACTGACGTGGTTTCTGCGGACTACTAAATTCAATCCTCAGTCTTAATTTTTGTTAACGTTCCTTTGCAAACAATACTTAAATACATTTAAAAACATTTAAATACTTAAGATCTTATAATCTGTCCCCAGGGGGTAATCTTGCGTTGTCATCACACAACTAACCCAGGTTCATGTGCATAACATAAGTCGTATGTTCTTTCCTCATGCTTTCCACCGTCCCCTGGCTCCATGTTGTCGCTGCCAAAGGAACGTCGCTCCTCAGTCAGGGGTTGCCTCGGATTGGTGACTCAGCTTCGATAGCTATGCTATGCCCAAACCTCCAAGATCCTCCAAGCATCTCCAAACACTTCATCCAAGTGACGGATGCAACACAGTTCCATCCTTGGATGCGATGCCTTTCCACATGCACTGGGAGTACGGGGTCATATAAGCTGCGTGTGTCAATCTCACGAGACCCGTATGCTCTGCCTATAGCATGGAGCAAGTGGATAGGCTATCGGATTGGACGTTTACGGACGTTGCATAGAAATGCTTGGGCAAACACTCCTAAAAACAACAAGACTCAAAACAAGGAGTCTTAAGTTGGCAGGACTTTTGGCGAAAGCACTGCTACACTAAGTAAAATCAGTAAAGTAGCATCAATCATGCCTCCAAGCCAGGAAGACACGCATAGAATGAGTGTTCTACCATGCTCTCCCATTTTGACGACCTTCTGGACATCCCCACCAAAGCCTGCATTTGTGATCCTCTGATAAAAAGTTCAAGCAGTATCTGAACCATGACCTACCTATTCATCCATTTTCATCCTATTTCATTGTCAACGTTACCTACATTTCCACCGTTTGCTCTGACAGCTGATTCACCATGACTTGCCCGTCCATCCCGGTCACCGAGGTCCCAGATGCAGCGGCATTTTGAGCGCCCTGGACTGCGCGTAGCTCTGCAAGTTGCAGTTGGTATGCCCATCCGCCAGCTGCAAGATAGCCTGCGTAGCTGCCCAGGCCGATAGAAACTCCTTTTGAGGCAGCATCCCATCGATCTAATCACATAATCCTCCAAAATATTGAACATGCTGTCCAAGAAATAAGTCTCCGGGAACTGGAACTCTTTGTTTTCCAAGTGGTACAGGATCAAAGAATAGATTGCATCACAGGCATTCCCTTCAAACAGAAACCACCTGAAACCAACTTTAGCCACGTGGCGCCCAAGCAGCGCCCAAACAACTTTCATTAGCGCCTCATTGGCCTCAGTCCAATTCTCTCAGCACCAAGAAACTCTGTCAAAATATGTCAAAATATGTCAAAATGGATCAAAATGGTATCCATTGTACTGTCTTCCCTGAACACAGACCCAGCATGAGCCAACCACGACAATGAGCAAAATATCAGTGAATTCAAGCATCTTGGTATCAAAA